GCTGCGCGGAAAGAAGAATGCCAAGGAAGGAAGAATGTGATATTGGTGATAACAGAGAGGCATAAACTCGTAATGAGTTTGATTTGTTGATTACATAAATAAATTTAGTTGGTGACACTTACGTATGGCGTAATTTGCAGTGTGACGAACAACTTCTGAATGCATAACATCAACTCCTCAACGTTGATTTTCTCACATTCCGGTTTAATGAAATTCTCGACTGGGCGCCATTCATAAATAAATTTACGAAAGACTGGATCACTGAAGAATATCTGAAATGATGCATTCGGCACGATCACAAATGAACTCTTCTTAAATGGCATTCATTAGAAATTATCCGAGATTTATAGTAATCGACGCATCCATTCCGAACTAAGAACATCTGCACACTACTTAACCGCTGAGCAATCCTTCGCACTCACCAATCAATTGAACGACTTTCTATTCAGACTAAACAACTTATGAATTACGGGCAAACAGAATTTGAACTCAATGAGCTTGATGCATGCAATGAAATCTTTTGAATAAAATTCACTTGATCAATTTCTGTTGCTTATGCAAACTAGAATATGATATTGCAATAAAGACATCATTCACGAAGTGATTGATTATTCACTAATAATCACCAAACCTGCAAAAAGCTATTCAAATAGCATGAATTGCCCAAATTCACCAGACCGCATGGTTTCGTTGACACTTCTCGTCGACTACTCGATTTTTCACTTGATTTCCCCTCTTTCACCATTTTCTGCACCAATTTATCCCACTTCTCGGAGCCCAAACGCTCCAAGCAATACGGATTGTCACGACAATTTTTTGTCCTGTACGATAAAATGCATTGAACAATTCTGCATTTTATATTTCAACACCTTCCTGCTGTTATGCGGATGAGCTATTGCTGAGCAGTTTCATTTGATTCAATTGCAATCAACCAACTTCGAATACATGAACACTATTTTTCAAATTTATTTCTCACATTTCAATTCCCACGTAGATTTTTTTTCATATCGACTGAACGCTGGGCGTATTTTTAAGGAATAAAAAGTTTTCGATGTATAATTGAGTGAGTTCAGAGAAGAACGAACTATTCATGGATTATTGCATTGAAGTTAAACATCTGATAACGTGATGATGTTAACTGGGTTCATGATGCTGCATATCATTTGATAATTCGATTCATTGTTACAATTCAAACTGCCTTACTCTACATCATCGTCTAGTTCACAAACTGTTCCATCTTCAGCTCACTTTTTCGAGTTTAATTTTGCTAGAGATTGGGATTCTGTGGAACTCATAAATTATAGCAGAAATATCGGTTTGGCCTTGGAAATGAAGTTAACCTTGGATTTGGAACACAATGCAGAAAGCATTGTGACTTGTGCAGCATGTACAACTTCCATAACGCTTTATGATCCAATTTGTCCGGTATATCGTACTCTTCTACCGGCTGAAATATTGTGTGATTTATAATACTTTCTTAATTGACCATCTAAACATGGTACTGTGACTTCTTTCAACATCATGTCATTGATTTGCAACCCATGCCCTTTGACTGCTTTTGTCTTTTCATGAATCTATTACAAATTCCGTTGCATTGGTACAATCGGATTCTGTAATCAAGACCTCTCTAAATAATTCTCAAAAAGTTGAAGAATATCAACGATCTACTCGGATACAATAGCTTTTTTCAACGAATATTGATCTTCTATTGACGGCAGGTTGAACACAATGTTCATTCGTTTATGATCAATTTGATAAACCATCAATATTCTCTATCTGATCTACGCAGCACTCACGTGTGAAAAGAGGTAATCTTTATGATCATCTATCACTACAACTCATCGCCGTGTTACTGGCGCTCTAGGCTCTATTGATCATTTTTCGTTTTCTTTCGAGTGGTTTGGTTGCCTTACGAGTTGTTTTTACGATGTGAATGAATAGCATATTGCCGTTCTTTATGTTACTGCTATCATTTCTACTCTTTTCTACTATTATGTACTTGCATTACTTATATTTACTCACCACACTGTCAGTCATTCCACTGAACTTTTTTCTACTATTATCATGCGAAGAAAAATATGAGCATTGTTATTTTTATTGATATTCATTAAGGAATCAAGTTTAAGACTATGAATATTTGGTTCTGCTGCTGACGGTGAGTGATATTTTCATCTTCTGAGTATTTCTAGATCGCGCATCGAAACAAAAGAACAAAAATTTGGCATGAAAAATTTCGAAACTTACTCTTCGACGACTCCAAGGCGTGCCTCGACGCCTTGGACCAGCAGAAATTGTGCGTTTCATCGACAGTTGAAACTATGCCGGTGAAATGCACAAAGCTGAACGCTGCCGTGACTATAATGACAAATGCTGATGAATCACTAATATAAAGCACACTCGTTCTTAACGATCCAATCCGTTGATAACACCGCCTGAATTATTAAGCATTTTAAAATTATAAGAGCAATCATAGAATAACGATAGCCGTCTGTTCCGATGAACACTTCACAGGAATGAATCAAAACACCAGCCGTTTTTTGCAACATTCATTAAAATACAAATTCAATACAGTGAACAAAGTTAATTGGAATGAGATGCAAACGTTCGATTCGAAACAATAACAAATTGTCGCAAAATTCATAGCAACAATCTCGGAGTATCAATTGAATTATATGAGTGCAAGCGATTCATTCTCTCGATAAAGTTTAAATCAGCGTCATCACACCTCAAAAGTTTTGCATTTCACGTGAACGTTAGCCTTCTTGTTCAATCTGAGAATGACAACGCTCTAAACGTTTAAACGTGCTCTGAGCATTATCATTAAATCTGTAAAATAATTGCTACACTACGATGAATGCATTGAAGTAAAATGTGAGATGAGGAGCGATCATTTCAGTGTCTGCAATGAAATGAACGCAGAAATAAGCTACTCCGATCCCCAAACATGACCAGGTATAAAATTTCAATTAAGCAATGCATGAAGCTTTCGAATAAAGCATTAAGCTAATTAAATGGCGCGACTCAAACATTTCTACTAGCCTTTTCGCCAAACGAACTTCCTCATTTCCGTTGGCAACTAGATCATTAGCAACTGGATCAATGTTTTAAAAGGTCTACGACAATTTGGTCCGTGACAAGGAGCAACTCCGACAATTTGCGCGTGCCTCATCATTTCTAAAGCAGTTTAGAGTTCTCTCCGACGTCGGTCACTCATTTTTAAAGCCAACAGGAGATTGATTATTTCGAAAGAAGTTAATTGTAAGCATCTACCCCCTAGATCCTTCGAAATCAGAAAATATCAGTGTTAAAGCTTTACTCGTTTCTTTTGAAGTGATCACGTAAACTGGTTTCTGGTATCAGTTAATCTACACAATGGCCCGTGATCGCAGTCGAAGTCGAGGTTGGTGTGGTTTTGAATTATTCATTCGTTGCATACTTATTGGGAAATCTGTGTTCTGCTGAATGCATAATCACGAGAGTTATACTCGTGGAACTTGAAATAAGGAAGCGGGCAAATCTCGATATTTGTTTTCGTTGCAGCTTTTCATAGCACCTAGTTGGCAGTAATCTTAATTAAGGATTGTTTCTACTAGCTGCTCCTTTAAGAAGTGGAGTAACCTGAGGTTTCAGGGGCTCGTTCGGAATACACGTTCAGCTAGAGCAATTTACCATTCTTGTTTTCATTCGTTGTTGTGTTCACGAATTTCCTCACTCGGTTGCCTAAGTACACTTCAAACTGTTGATGACTAATGCTGTTCGGTTAAAATTTATCGCTGATCATGGTTTTCTTAAGAACGTGATCGTGATAGACGTCGCAGGTCACGCTCTCGTTCCACTGGCAGATCTCGAGGGGTTACGACCTCCGATCGTGACAAGGACACTCGGAGTAGACGTCGCAGTCAGGTTCATTTCCTCATGATTTGTTTTATTCACCCAGTTTTAAACGATGAATTATTCTAACGATGCTGTTCGTTAAAATGATGATTAAGTAACTGATGTGCAGGAAAGACGTCGCTCGCGAAGTCCAGTGGAACGCAGAAGAAGCCGAAGTAGGAGTCGTGAACGGAGAGACGATGCGAGACGGCGGGATCTCGAAGAAAGGAACAGGAGGTTGTGCAGTGCTTTTGTTTGATTCGTTCACGTGTTAATATTTTCATTTCGATTTGTTTTTTGCTTATGATAACCTTCTTTAAAGAAGTATTCTTCAGAGAACTCGTTGATTTTTGTTAATGATTCAAAATGAAAGGAAGTGTGATTTGTATTTTTGACGT